TGTGCAGACTATTTTAAATGAAAATTAAATTATACATACTTTAAAAAAATTCTACACTTTCTTACGTTATGTACAATTTTCCCATAAAATAGCAAAAAATTTATGTTCCGAGTAGTCATTCAATTTAAAGCGGTTACAAACGTTTCGAATAACTCATTTTAAAAAGACGTCGAATGTATTTTCAAAAAATGATTTAGATTATTCTATGAAAGGTATCACTTCTAATAAAACCCTTTTCAACTACTAAGCAGTAATAATTTATATTAGTGAATATGAAATATTCAGCGATATAAATATATTTCTAATCTGAAATACTTGCACATAGAAAATTCTTTATATTTTTTTAAAACTCATTTAGAGATAATCTTCGCATCAAAATTCCTTTATAACACTATTATTCAAACATTACCTAGCTTTTATCAATTCCTGTAAAAATTTCTTTAATTTTTTTGTAAATGGCTAATGAGAATATTAGAAACTAGTGCTATAGTATCGAATGATACAAATTATGTTTCAAAATTAAGTTTCGTCATAAAATATGATAACATAAACGTATGTCATTTTCAAGCATGTTCTGGTATAAACGGTATTACACGACCATGCTTGAAAATGGCGTATTGCTGGTATGAAACAGCTGTAATTCTTTTTCTTTTCAGTAAATGTTTTCGTATATATTTTTCATATATTTCTTTTCATACGTATTTTGAAGTTATATGATATTATTTTCCATTAACTTTAAAACTCATAAACTCCATATGTTTTCCTAAGCATTTATTAAAATTCCACAGAGGTAATTTTATAACAGTATGAAATAATTTTATTGAATCATTTCATATTTCACATATTCTGATATCAAAGAATCTGAGGCAAAACTATTTTTCATTACAAATACATTCCTTTAAATCTTGAAACATGCTTTAAAAGTCGAAACTAATATTATATCACAAGATAATTTTTGCAGCTTGAATGGCGGCTGTGAAATTCTTGTGATAATTTTTATTTACTTATTTATTTATTCAAAAGAAGAAATTATCGAAATAGTAATAGTTTATAACTTCTTTTGGTTGCAAAAATTACAAATTAACAGAAACTGAGAATTTTAAATCAGATTGTAAGTGCTTCTGATTGCATCTGAGTATTTGAATGTTGGCTTTACGTGCTCCTCCGCACATAAATCGTTATTTGTTTATTTAATTTTCAGTATTTCATTGAGAAGTAATAAGGTATTTGTACCTCTTTGATCTAAGGTTATGCTAATATTGTAAATTTCTTTCTTTTCTCTACCCTTAAGGAAATGTCTTCGAAGCGCTTACAGTTTTCACTTCGTACCCTGGCAAAACGTAAGGAATTGCCATTTGAGAGAAACATTTGTTGCAAGATACGTGCGTAAGCTATCTTAAATTAATGCACAGTTTCATCAGGGATAATTAAATCTTTTCTTCATTAAACAAGTCTTGCATGGCATTAATTTACGATGAAATAATATTGCTATGTTTTCTTTTCTTTTCTTTTTCTTCCCTATTGCTTTTTCATCCAAACAACTTTTCTTTAAATTTTGCCTTCCAGTGGGGACGCACGGGTTGCAGCAGGTCTGACGCCAACTCTGGTCAATTGATATGCTTTTAACAGATGTTTTTTAATTTAATCCACAATTTCTAAAGTGAATCATAACTGGAAAAGTAATCATATCATAGAAATCTAAAGTAATCATACGATACATAATTTTTGGTATGTAGTATGTAATTTCTTGTTTTTTTAAATTTACTGAAATTAAACAAAAATATTCAAATGGTGATTCAATATTCCGATTTACAAGACATTTGAAAACTCTACTTAATTATCAATCTAGAAACAAACTAACGGTGGGGGGGGAGAGCAGGAAAATAAAGATTTTTTATTTTTTGAAACATGAAAATGCAAGCTAAATTTTATATGTTTAGGCTATTCAGTCTTATGTACATTTATTCATCTTTCACGGAATGATTGATAGCCTGTTGAAATTAAATATACGTCAAAGGTAAAATTAAAGTAGAGCACTACAGGTTATATTAAATCATATATTTATAAGCTCTCAGTACTTTGCTAAATAATCCATCTGAATAGCTGAATATTTAATAATGAAACTGGCATGCACATTTATTAGTAGAATCAACAATCGTTTTAAGCAAGAAATGCTTTAAATAAAATGAATACCATGTAGTACATAAAATACATACTATTTATTGTTCTAATTTTGTTTTAAATCAGCAGTCATCCAATAATCCTTAAACAACATCGAATAACCTTAACAATTGCTATAAGATAAGGCTGAGAGAATAATTACGTCTTAGTATCGTATTCCTAATTTTCCAGAAATTTCTATTTTGAAAGAAATGAGAAATTTATAAAGCAAAAACAACAGGGAAATCGAGCTGCAAAATAGAGACAAAAACGAAGAGCCTTTAAGAAAAAGATTCTTGACACTATCAAATGAACAACCGTCGTGGCTTAGGTCGTTGCACATTTTATGGTACCTTTTCGGCATTCCAGTATGTTATCATGAAGTGGAACGACAAAGTGCAAAGTTACTCTTTAAAAAAAGTTAAAATTTCTCTCTTCTTTTCTAAACGGAAGTACCTAAATAACAAGAAATACATTTGAAAGCAAACGAAAGAAAATATAATGTGTAAAACATTTTACGCCCTAGGCATTTCAAAAAGTAACAGAGCTGAACATATATTTCCAGCTTTCTTCATTATAGCAATGAATTATTCTATAAAATGAATTAACTTTGCTGCAAAACCTGAATAGTAGCATTTTGTTGTCTGTCAATTAAATGTGCTTCTTACTCAGTTGCATACAAGTTACAAAAATGTGCAGCATCTATTACTGAATTTTTGCAATTCTGGTAAAAAATTTGCTTTTAAGAATGGCAATTCGTTTTCGCCTTTTACTTCCTTGCACGAAGTAAAGGAAGTATTGTAATCGCCAAAAATTTCGTGTATCATATTTCAACGAAAATAATCATTTCAACCGCTCTCGAACAATTTCTGCACCTTCAATGTCTTTCTGCCGAGTGGGACCAAAACGAAGCTGTAAGTTTATGCTCCGAAAAATCTGCCTTCTTACCTGCTAGCCGAACTGCTTGTTTTTGCGTAGAAACTGTAATTTTAATTGTAAATTTTTTTAAAATTGTTTTAACTGTATTTGGTGTTTTATGTTTTTCTGTATCTTTCAGTTTTTAATGAAGGTATTTTGAATTTTTATGTATTTTTGCCTTACCGCAAGTCATGTGGCGTTTATATCAGATTTTTTAATTAAAATCGATGAAGGAATAAATGCGACGATGATATCGCATTTGGATTTCTATAGATATTTTGTTTAAATCATCTAGAGTTCCAGGTTTTTTTCATCTTTTATGATGTGATTTAAGTTTCTTTTTTTCTCTCTCTTTTTTTCTTTTCTTTTCTTTTTTAATGAAAATGAAAAATGTCTTGAATTTCATCATTAATTTCTAAAGCTGATAGCTTATTTTCCTTTGCATACTCAGGTCTTATAAAATGTAATCTGCTATTCAAAATACACTCCTTTTAATTTCAAAACTAAATTTTCATATACGAAGGAGGGAGAGCAGTGAATACGGCAGAATAAAAATAACTCTCTTATTAAGTTATCCAGAAAACCTCAACCTTCCATATCATAAGAAAAAGAACTCTATTACTTATACCAAATATAAAGGCCAAAATGAATCAGTCAGATTTAAATCGGAAACCTAAATGAAATCTTTTCTTAGGATTGTCAGTTGAAAATTTTTGTCGTGAACTGACATAATAAAATTCTCTCCTGAAAATAAATAACCTTTTCCTTAAATATATTTAATTCATTGTGAAAGAATGGGTGAACACTGGTCAATTTTTACCCGAAAAGAAAAGTCCAATTTATTCAATCCTGTATAGAAATCTCTCTATAAAAATCTATTCAATTCTCTATAGCGATAACACATTTAATAGCCAAAAACATTAAGGCGATACTGAGACCCTTGAAAGAAATATAGGAACTGCTGAAAAATTAAATAATAAATTAGGAAAACTGTTATATCTCTTTTTTCTGATGTTGATTCAACACACAATCTCTGTTGTTTCTGACTTAGGAACGTGCAGTCTCTTATATTCTTGATTTTTTAATGTTTGGCACATGCCTTTGCAATGAATGCTAATTTTTTCTCAGTGCTTCCCTGTTTATGTTAAACTGTTCTTTAGATGTAATAAATAGGGTAATAAATAGTGTAAAATTGTAGTGCAGCTGTTTGTAATAACTATATAGTTTGACACACAAGAAATCAAAAGTAGTTTCTGCTACTGACTAATCAATAACTGGTTAAATAATTAGTTGCGATATTTAGTTTAATTAAAAGCGGCTGTATTTTTACCAGATGAACAGAAATATGTATCAGATATGAAAAAAATAAAGTACTCATACTGTAATATCGTCGGCACCACTCGAAAATCGCGAATCTACACTTTGCTGTTTGTATACATTTACTGTGTTAATTATGATGTTTGACACGTTAAAAGACAAAATTGTATATTTTGCGAGAATTCATGTGTAATAACTATAAATTAATGTTCTTCAAACCCAAATGTGTGTGTAACTTTAAGCCTGGACCCCTTCCCCTCCACACACAGAGCGACAATTTTGTAGATTTGTAATTTTAGCGTGGGCTCACTAAATTATTTTCTTCTATAAGTGTTATTTATACTTTCAACGACTAATTTGCTTTGAATGTCATATGAGACAATTAATAAAAAATTAAAATAGCCTGAAAAAAAAAAAAAAAAAAAAGGAAAGATCAGTGATCCTGTAGTCGTCGAAAGCACTCAGGATCTGAAATAAAGAATAAGCAGCGTCCCTGACGGAGCTCACCAAACACAACGGTCGAACACTTCTCCCCGCCCCGTCTACTACTTCCCGTCTATCTACCTGGTTACCACGAGCAACCAGTTTTACAGCTGACTTCGAAGTATCAACATATATCTGAGTATTCTTGAACAGTCATCGCAGCGTTACGGCATGCTGCATATTGATTGATGTAAAGTTCAGAAAAGATATCTTTTTACAGTAACTGATATCCATTCGCCTTATTATTTTTTAGTGAATAGATTACGTTCGATAATTTTTTAACGATATGACACATATTTAGTGACACCTTCTTTTTAGATAAACTACCGAATCTATAAACATCTTGTTGCATCCTTAGCCAATGATATTTTAGTCATGGAATCTTCTGTTTTGTATAATTTTGTATTTCTTGATCGCTACCAAACAGATAATTAAATTCCGGTCTCATTGTGGTGGTTTAAAGTGCGTTTTTTTATTTTACTGGCAACCGAAAAACAAAAGTGTTCTGTTTGTGTATTTTAGTTCCGGGATTGCAATTACGTTATAACTACTAAGAAGCGAAATCAAGAGGAATTATTTATACTAAGGATTAGTTTTGCTATCAAATATGCATGAACGTCAACATTCGAGGACGTTTTGAAAAGACTAGGATTAGATTACTTCCAGACTGTTGTAGTTTTCCAACAATGTGATAAGCGGAGTTGAAATGCATAATGTCCGCATGTGGCATCACAGAAATGCAGCAGACTTCGAGTGGAGGTTTTTATGGTGATTTAGAAGAATATTTGAGTGAAGTAGAAAAACGGTCCCAGCGGACTTCCAATGATGGCGAGGATGTTTACACACAACTAGCACAGCGCGAGAAAGACCTCGTGCTTGCTGCCGAATTGGGAAAAGCCCTTCTCGAGAAAAATGAAGAAATCAGCCGAGCTAACGAAAGGCTGGCAGAGGAATACTCACATAAACTCGAGGTGAGTCACCTTTTCCATTTTCTAAGTTTGTAACAATCAGCTTAAAAGTATTTCAGAAACAATTTACTATTATACAATTATTCTCAATGCTTTTTCAATCGTGAAATAATACTTCTGAGGCTGTGATTGCTAAATTGTTTACATAAAGTTTTCTTGCTAATATAAAAATCGAGAGCAGTTATTAAATTATTCCTAATGGTTTCTTCTTTCACCACTTCCCAAGCATCAATGAATTATTTTTGGAGAAAATAAACCTGATGATTAACTAAACATGTGACAACTATTCCTCAGATTGTTGTTTTTTCCAAGTAAAATTTAATTTACTTGAATTAAATTATTGAATGATAATTCTTGATTCAGTATTTACAATTATGGATTATCATATCCGATAAAATTAGTTGACACAGTTTGTTTCGTACTTTTAAGAACTCACAAAATATTTATAGTATATAAAGTGAATTTGATATAATTTAGTTGGACTATGAGCTTCATTTTCAGGGTTATATGGAGAATTTCAATATTCAGTAAATCTAGATGATTTCTTTATGTTTCCAGCGGTGATAAGAAATTATAACGCCTTTTTTTTTAAATGTCATGTATAACGAATTATATTCACGTGTTGAAGCATTAATATTCATCATGACCCTTGATCAATATCTTATCTTTCTATAAAATTATGGAGTCGTTTTATCAAATATTTTAAAGTTTAAGATATCTAAGACAACCACACCGTGATTCCATACAGATAGTCTCTTGCGATGCACATTACAAGTAGTTACTTAAGTTTTCGGAAGTAATGCTCGCTTTCAGAGACGATTGTCTTAGGAATTTGGTTACTACCAAACGAGATGCACAATAAAAGATCAATAAATATGAGAATATCTGAATTCTTTTCATTGAGCGTATCCCTTTCATATCAGCATCAATTATTTTTTCTGCTTCATAAAGCATCACTTGAAAATTATTTCTTATTTCATAACTTTTATATTGCTCAGAAAATAATTTCCAGTCATTTATTGGTATTTTAAAAATGTGTAGTGGAATGCCTATTATTCATATGTAGTAATGTGTAGTGGAATGTCTATTATTCATATGTAGTAATCGGCTTTGTATTCTTACTTATACGAGCGTTAAATAGGGTGATAATTGTCATTAAAGTGATGCTAAAGTAATTGTCTAGATTTGCGGCTTGCTTGGAGAAGTTCTTTCGAGGTTATAAATCATACAAAATGCTCGCTGTCTTCGAAAAACTCATGTATTTGTTTTTGCACAAAAAATACTTTGCATTAGTTTTCATTAATTTCGATTCGATTTTACGATATCGTTTAATTGCATACATGCATATCATGTATGTATTTCCCTGTGATTCTATTCCTCTGTGAATTTTCTAGATTGCTTATGCTTTTATTTTTGACAAATTCTTTAATTCAAAGAGTGGTCGGTCATTGACATATTTTAATTAAATGGATTATATGAGTAGTTAAAAAAACTCACAAATTTTCAATTTTTTTTAAATAACAAAAATCTGATGTCAGATTGAGAGAGTATTTTTACGTATTTCAAAAGAGAACTATCATGAACTCTTTTTTTCCTCCAAAAAGGGAAATACTCTGAGCATGTTTCTGTAAGACATAGATGAATATTGTTTCCCTTGAAGAAGCGAAAACCGGTGCTGCTCTTTCACGAATTACATATTTATTTTTTTAATAAAACCAACACTAGCCTAAACATGCATTTTGAATAATTTTTAATTTCATATTAGTGCTCTCTCCTAACATATTTCCGAACTTTCTTATGTTCCTTTGCTAACACATTGGAGTCTATTTCAATTTGCGAGTACCATATGTAACTAAATATTTCGAAACGATCATTTAGTATATTGTTGTCTTATATTTTACTGCAGATATATGTACGCAATTTCGATGATTCATAATGTTTCCCATGCAATAACTATCAAATGTTTTATAACAAATGGTTTGAGAAAATATTCATTTCGAAAGTTATATTTTAAATTTAATCGATTCGGATCAAAATTGGATTGATATATATGTGCAAATGACAGAATTTTATAAGTTTTAATGAAACTTATTTAAATCCATAAGTTGCGACCTGCAAACATATGCGTAGACTTTATCATAGAAATGTAAAATCCTCGGATGTCTGAACTTGAAATTATGAAATTAATTTATGTACTTCTGAATAAGCTGTAAGGGACATTTTTTAAATATTATTTAAGCATATACGAATCGTTTTATTATAAATATAAAAAAATATCTTTAATGATCTCAGATAAAGGGGAAATAATTACTGAAATAGAAATGTGATATCTGTATTTAATATTTCATCTTTTAATAATATTGTAAATGATGCATAATTCTGTTTACAAAGCGATCATTTAAAATGTTTTGCATATAGTATCATAAATTTACATTTAAGTTTATATTTTTGTCTGGCATGTAAAAGTTACACACCAAGCATGATGAAAAACTTTAATTTTCTCGACTTGAAGAATAGAAGTTTTGCTTGATTTAATGTGCAGGACAGAAATTTTCATGGTTTCGTTAATTAGCTTCGTCAGTTTTAGTTAGTTTAGTTTAATCTATTCTTTTATTTACAAATGCGGAAAGGTCAAAAGTAGAATGAAGTTACAAGAATATTTCCAGAATAGCATCTTTGAAAAAGAATAGAAACTTATTTTCTGCAGTTGATTGCTGGCTCATTTATGATGCTATTAATTAAATGTTAATACATCTTTCTTTAAAAAAATGGTAGGAGATGAGTTTTTGCATATTTTGCCGATAAATTATTTTGAGAAAATGTGATAATAATGTAATTCTGTAAAAGTTTAAAATTGGTGTATCAAATTAACTGAAAATTTAGCGCATTATTTTAGTGATCGTTAATTTACTAAGTCGAGTGAGAGAATAACTGTTTTGTAGAATGGTAATTTAATGATACTCGTTAGCTTATTTGAAGAAGTCAGAAGACAAATCGTTCCAAGATTGGACTTTTTTAATAGATGTGAAATAATAATAATATACTTTTTGACATAAATAAGCATAAAATTTCTATTTCTATGGTTTCGCTTTATCATTTGGCAGTTTTTTTTATCAATTTTGCGTTCTGAAACGCTAATATAATTAATCATAAGACAAGAAATGAAAAATTAAAATTTGGTAAACATAAAAGAACATCAACTTGAAACTAAAGGGATGGCAACAGCTCCATAATTTAGGCTTTGATTTGAAGGTATTTTTGAAGTATATAAAAATAAGAAAATTTAAGTTCCTGTGTATTGTCCTCCATTATTCGACCATCATTCTATTAAAATTGAGGTATCTTTTATTATCGCCCATTATTCTTGATCAATATAAATTTCTGAAATTAAAAAATTTCTCGTAGCATTTATTGCCCTCATACTTAAGAGTTTTAAAATGCTGAAATTCTCTGATGTTTTCAATCAAAATACTGTAAATCAAATAGGGGCTATTGATGTGAAACGAGATTTAAAAATCCTCCGAAAGTCAGCGAAGAAACAATTTAGATTTGATTAGTCAAATGAATTGATTTGGTATTCTTTTTTAAATGCTATGTAAAGAAGGAAGAAGTAGCTTTACAAATTAATTAGCAGTAAGTGGAGCAGAACAAAAAATTCGAATAGTAAATTTTGATTGTTTTTCAACATGTAATTTATTTTTGAAATATTGCTTTCTGTTAACTATTAGGCAATTGGTTCGAGTCTCTTTACGCGCACAGTTTTCGATTCGTTCATTTTGGTTTTAGTACTTTTGGGTTGGGCATATCTTTTTTCTTCCTTTCTGCTGTAATTTAGTCTTTGTAGTTTTATTGTTCTTTCAATAACTATGCAGAAAGGAAAAGCCAGTGAACCAAAAAAAAAAAAAATTAAGCTTATTATTGCGGTTTCTAATATCGCACTGTGATTAGACATTCTAATTTTGATGACCAGTGTTTAAGTTATTTATCCAAGCAATTTTGTGAATACAAATAAATATATATAAATATATACATACATACATACACACATGTATATATATTTGTAATATAATAATATAAAAATCGGGAAAATAAAATACTAATTTTAATTTGCAATAACAATTTCATTTTTCTTCTTAATTTGTTTCCCTTTTCCATTCTAAAACTTATAACTGCTCATAATAAATCTCTTTAAACTGTGTTATTTCAAAATTAATCTTTCTCACATGATTCTTGCGTAACGCCAATGCGCAGATACTTGCATAACGCTTCAATCAATAATGGTATTAGAATTTTACAGTTTGCGAACTGAAATTAAATGAAGCAATCAGAGCAAAGTTTAAACTGTAACTGAATCAGTCTAATCCAGATCTCCGAGGTATCATCTGCGTATTCCATTTCAATTTTTCTCTCCTGTCGACTTGCTGCTGCTACTTTTCTTAATTTGTGAAAATGCATTATAAAAATGTAAGATATGTTAAAAAAAGAGAACATGTCTTTGCCAGCTTAGCCAATGAACGTCTTGAAATATGGTATAAATGTGCTTCAGGATTGCATTTCATGAATTTTGTACACACAAATATATGTACAAGATTCACTAATGCTTAATTATAAACGAAATAATCTTTCCAGTTAAATTCTTATTGGGCTTTAAGTAAGATTTTTAATTCGATCATATTTGTGTATAATTTGACTATGAAATATATCTATATATTCGTAAGAGCTATCATACAGAGCATGTGTGGAAAGATTATGAAACTTCATGTCTGAAGAGAATCGTCGTAATAACAACTGACCTCTCTGCAAATAAAAACGACAGCTGTAAAAGCATATGAAACATAATGATATATCATGTTAAGCGCAGTCTGAGGGGTTACATCTGGTGAGGCAAAGACACCTAACGTACATGTCAACGGTGATACGGTACCACGTTTGGTATAGCATGACACTTTCTCCAACACCCTACAACAACCTTGTTTCAGTTCAGATTTCTGTTTCAACTCGCA